GTCCACCATAGACTTTGTATGTAAACCTGCTGCTCCTGATGATGAAATCACATTTGGTGTGAACGCAGCATAACACGCTTTCACTTTCTACTTTTACTTTAATAGGATTAACAACTAATCACTAACCATATTATTTATTTCACATTTAGTCAGTTGTACATTAATTATTTTCTGTGTTTATAAGAGGACGTGTTAAAACACTGTTTAGTCAGAGTTAAACATGAAACAAAGTTAATGACAACTGGCCCTTCGAGGGCCACCATAACACTATGTGTCCCTCAGTGAGAATGAGTTTGACACACCTGACACATAGAGAAAAAAAATTTGATTTTTTTTCTCAACAGACGCCAGGTGAACGTCATGTATGTGTTTGGATTCAGCTGTCCTTAGTCAAAACTTAGTAGGAGCACATTTTACAGCTTTKTACATGAAGAGACTGAAACAATTGCCCACTGTTCTCTGTAAAACAGCAGCTACTGGTTTGTAGGGCTTGATAATGGCAAGAATTTGGCGATATGATACTGTTACGACTGCCGTCGTATTTTGTTTTGAGTGTTTGTGTGTTGTGATGATTATGTATGCAAATGAGTTTCCAGGTGCCGTCCGTGATTGGTGGATTGAGACCAGGAGCTGAACGAGGATTGGCTATGAGGATTGATGAGGAAACGGCATAAAGATTAGCTGAGAGGTGATGACGTCGAGAGGTTCCCCCTCCTCTGAGCCATCCAACCTGCCTGCTGACTGATGTGACATGTCAGCCTTTAGAGTTGTTTGTTTATACTTAACTACAAAGTAGTTTTGTGAGTTTTGTAGGGGTGAGCTGCCATTTATTTTGAATATATTTTTCTCCTGTTTTGGGCAATTACGAAGCTAAGGTCCTGTATTTCAATTCTATTTAATTTTGAGGTAAGATGTAAAAACTTAGATTCATTTTGTTTGCTATTTTGGCCTTAGGCTCACCCTGAAGTGAAGACACTCCAGTTTTGTACATACACAAGAACTGTAAATAAAATTCACACTTTTATTCTTTTCATCAAATAGTTTTCCAGTGGCTCCTTTTTTCATTTTATTTTGTATTTTTTTTTTATTGAATGGTGCAGATTTGGAATTTTTCCACCTTTTGTTACGTCCTGGTTGCCCCTAGACGGGGTGTAACAGATACATATCATGTGTCACACTGTGGTCACGATATGATATATCATGATATATTGCCATACTGTAAGCAGTGTGTGGGTCAGGTTTTTGTGATCTTCAGTCACCCTTTTAATGCTTAGACCCCACAGATCATTTAGAAATCTAAATGTTTTAATTAGTTTGTTGTCTACTTTGGTTTGAAATTTTTTTGCAAACTTGTGATGTGCTCTATGTCTACAGGGCTCCCTTATGGGTTTTTTTTCATTGTGTAATGGAAGTAAWGCTGCACTTGCTTCCTAATTTTTAACTTTTGATGACCTCTAAATTCTTAATGGGTGGTCTGATTTTAAAAAACAAAACTGTTTTGGAATCAGTACATAGAGCCTTACGATTAAATAAAAGGAAAAACAGCTCTAAAGTAAGTTTGAAAATTTTATCCCTACTTTCCATAACATGATGGCTGACTGGAGTCAGGAGAAAGACTGTCCCATAGAGCAGCGTTTCCCAAAGTTCAGGTCGGGACCCAAAGTGGGGTCCCAAAACTTCAAGGTGGGGTCCTGAAA